GCTCCTAATAGTCCAGAATCTCCAATAACTGAAGTTACACAATCTTCTGACACTCCAGTACCTCCAGCTACAGTGCGCACAGAAACTTCTGGTAGTTCGCAATCTTCACTCATTACTGAAACCTTAGTTAGTACAGAATCTCCTGCTAATACAGAACTTATAACCATTGAAACCACAGTCAGTACAGAAATTTCCGTGACTTCAAAAACATTAGGGATTTCTACTCCGTATCCCTTGTATAGCAGCACATCTGTTACCCAAAATATTTCTTCGACCTTTGCTTCTGTTAGTGAGTCTATCAGTGTTTCGAATTTTCCTAATTCTTTTAATTCATCTGAATCTGATATTCCTAGTCCACCTAATATATCTGTTACTCCTGGTAATCCTGGTACTTCTGGCACGCCTAATATTTCTTCAGGTATTGTAATGTTTTCAATATTATTTTATGATTATTAGAATTATATATGTTTTATAACTATATTTATATATATATATATATATCTTATTTATTAAGATCTTATTTGTTTAATTAATTATATATCTTTTAGGTACTCCTGGAAGCACAAACGTTCCTGGTACGTGTACTGAAGAAGGGTTTTTTCCTGATCCTGAAGATTGTCATAAATTTTATCGTTGTATCGGCAGTGGTTCATCATTTAGTAAATACGAATTTTTATGCGGTCCTGGTACTGCTTGGGATTCTACTCTTCAGAGTTGCAATCATGATTATCTCGTTTCAAATTGTAAAGAAGAATCTAGTTCATCCAATTCTTCAATCACTTCTTATCCAGATTCAACTATTTCTTTGAGCACTACCACAGATCAAGATTCAACTGACCACGATGTTATTATTGCTACTACTCCATCTAGTATATCGGAAGAAATATCTTCATCAACTATTTCATCAGTTTCTGCTAGTACTCAGACAATTAAACCTGGATCGACTCCTTCTGAAACTATTACAGAATCAATATCCTATTTACCTCCTGCAAATAATATTACATCTACTACTACTGCGGCGACCATAACAGTCAGTACGTTTCCTGAAATAGAATGTACTCAAGAAGGATTCTTTCCTGACCCTGAAGATTGTCGTAAATTCTACCGTTGTGTCGGTACTGGCTCTACATTTATCAAATATGAGTTCCAGTGTGGTATTGGTACTGCTTGGGATTCAGCTCTTCAAAGTTGTAATCACGATTATCTCGTTACTAGTTGTAATGGATCTACGGTCACTACGGAATCAAATTCGTCTGAAAATGAAATTAATAGCAATCCTAATCAACCAAGTACATCACAAACAGAAAGTAGTATATCATCGGAGAGCACAACATCTTCTATATTAACTAGTGGTCCATTAGTTTCGTCGACATCATCATCTGATGTTACATCGATAACTAACGTACAAACAGATATTTCAACAATTATTACATCAACAGTATCACCATCGACTGTGTTTTCTACAGCTGAATCAAATATTCCTATCACTCAGTCTACTTTGCCATCTTCCACATCTGAAGCAGCGAGTTCTCAATCTACAATATTATCTTCTACTACGTCACTTCCAACAACTACTACTGAAACAAGTACTACCAGTTCTGAATCAATATCTCCAAGTATTACGGAATCTGTTTCATACTTGCCACCAGAGAGTAATACAACGTCTAATCCAAAAACAACTACTATATCATCTCCCACAGTATCTGAAATAACCACTGCCAGTTCTGAATCAATATCTCCAAGTATTACAGAATCTGTTTCATATTTGCCACCAGAGAGTAGTACAATACCTAGCTCAGAAACAACTATTGGATCATCTTCCACTGTATCTGAAACAAATACTAGTTCTCAATCTACAGAATCTTCTTCCACTATATTATCTGAAACAAGTACAACTTCTGAATCTCCAGGTATTACAGTATCCGTTTCATATTTGCCACCAGAGAGCAGTATTACACCAACATCAGAAACTACTATAACCAGTTCATCTTCTGGAATAGCGCAATGTCCAGAAGAAGGTTTCTTCCCAAATCCGAACGATTGTACGAAATTTTATCGTTGTATACATTCTCAAAATGGATTACAACGGTATGATTTTGATTGTGCACCTGGTACAGCTTGGGATCAGACTCTTCAAACTTGTAACTATATTGACCAGGTAACTTCTTGCTCAGACAATAATGATCATAGTCAAGGATCTTCAAGCACTTCTGCAGTATCTGATTTAACAACACCTAGTAGTTCTACTAGTTCAATTACTAATAGTACGCTAACTTCTACAAGTACAACGAAAATACAATCATCGAGTACTGAAATCTCAACTTCTGTATCCTCAACTTCTTCGATATCTTCTACAGAATCAAGTATTTCAGACTGTACTTCGAAAAATCCTAATAATACGATAGTTTGTAACAAACCAGGTTTTTATCCGCATCCAACACAGTGTAACAAATTCTATCGTTGCGTCGATAATGGGAATGGTTTTAACATATATTATTTCGATTGCGCACCTGGAACCATATTTGATCCTAGCATTAACGTATGCAATTATCCTGAATCAGTCTATCCTCCAAGAGATTGCAAAATGCCTACGTCAAGTCCGTCTACTAGTACAGAACAAACAACATTTTCTACTGAATTTACAACACAGTCGATGGGAACTGAAGAAATTGAATCTACAACATCATCGATGCAAACAAGCACAACTACAGAATCAAGTACGCAATTTACTTCTGAATCTACAACAGAATTTGTATCTGAATCAACCTCTGAATTGTCTACAATTGAATCAACATCTGAATCATCTACGACTTCAGAATCCACAACTGAATCAAATTCAGAATCTACGTCTCAAGTATCAACCGAATCTACATCTGAAATAACACAGAGTCTACATCTGAAGCAATCACTGGATCCACTTCTGAAACTACTACTGAATCTATCTCTGAAATAACCACAGAATCAACTAGTGAATCCACGTCTCAAGCAACTACAGAATCAACATCTGAAACAACTAGTGAATCCACATCTCAAGCAACTACAGAATCAACATCTGAAACAACTAGTGAATCTATATCTCAAGCAACTACAGAATCTACGTCTCAAACAACTACCGAATTGATTTCAGAAGCAACCACAGAATCAACTTCAGAAACTATTACATCTGAAGTAAGTACAGATTCTAGTTCTACGATAGAATCAACCTCTGTAGGAACTACTGAAAGTAATACAGAATCTAGCTCGGAACAAATTACTGAATCCATCGAAATATCGACTTCAACGACAGAATCTCAAAAATCCACTACGCAAATATCGATTTCTACCACGGAACCTTCTATTCAAACGCCTTGTCCAATCGGAAACTTAACTGATGAACAAATAGTACTAATCTGTCCAACAGGTTTCCGAAGACATCCAAAATATTGCAATCTATTTTATCAATGTACTATTGAAAGTAATATGGAAATAAATGTAATTGTATTAAGCTGTCCAGAAGGAAAAATTTACGATGAACAAAAAACGCAATGTTTGTCTGAAAATAAAGCCAGTAAACCTTGTACCGATAGTAAAGCAACTGGTAGATTTTATAGAAGGTTGGAGAGGAGTGAAGTATCTCCTGTGAGTATATCATTTTAAACAATTTGATATATATAAGTTTATATGCATTTTGTTTAAAATATATATGTTTTAATTTTTAGATAAAGGTGTCGAACGAATCACTTTGTCCGGAAGAGGGTCATTATCCTTATAAATCAGGTTGCAGCAACATATTCTATAATTGCAAACGAGATTCCAACGGCAATCTTCAGGCTTACGTATACAAATGTCCACAAAACTACTTGTATTGGTCGGTTTCGAGAAGATGCGAACGTGCTTTACGATTACCAATGTGTGCATTATTTGCACTTGAAGATAGCATTGAGAATTGGGATAAGAAATGGAAGATTCCAGTAGAAGGAATTAATTTGTCTGCCAGAAATTTAAAGTTTATAGATCATTAAAAAATATTTTCTTTATCTCGATAGAAAGTTTTAATAGTTCGAAAGGACAGTAAACTCTCAGGATAATTTCTGACATTATCTTGTTTTATAATTATATTTGAAGGAAAAATATTAGAATATATATCTAAATATCTGCACAACATGGCTACGGAAGATCTCTTAAAAAAATATTCAGATCTTCAGCAGTCATCTTGTGACAATTAATTAATCTATCGATTTATATATAGGAATTAATTCGTAATAATTATTGAAAGATATAATTAGAATTTTCTTACGATTTTTCATTATGAAATCGTAAAATCGTTGGAAAATACATTGCGAAAGTTGGGGTTTTTGGTTGAGGGACTTGTATGCAATATTCGACTGTATTCAGTAATTTGTGATACATATTTGAACATTTTTATACGAACATTTATATACATATTCGTAATTTTATAAGAATACTTTATTTTAAAACTCTTTATAACATAATATGAAATTTTATGTGCATATATAGAAACCTCAGCACCATGTTCTGAATACAGTACAAAATTAACCTTGCAAAGATAATTTTGTATATATGTGTCAATTATTCTAATTGTTCCTTTCTTTATATAAAACATCTCATTTATTATCTTTATTTCTTTCTATAATTTTTATATTTATAGAAAGATATCTATGTTAAAATATTACTTATTTTAAATAAGTAAAAAAAGGAAGTGCTACATAACGTTTGTTACGATTTAGTGATAAATATGAAGCACTTCTAGAATTGTTATTAAATGTGTATAAATATTGTGTGTGTCTGTATTAGATTTTTTTGCAAATTGATATCAATAAATTTTTTGATGAAGTATAGAAGAGTTTTACAATTTTTTTTATTTTATTGATTATTATAGTGGCAACATAGATTATTATTCTAAAGCTTTAAAATTTTTTTCTTATTATGTTTGTAATATTGAATCAATTACAAATATTTTATCATAATTTTTGATTTTAGATATATTTTGAAAATTTAAAAATTTACTAAATCAAATCGATTGTCTCGTTCGTTTCTCGCACCAATCGATTGCATTGGTCGATTATAATTTACGTGCATATGTACGAATCACGTGACTAATACTCATATTTTTACTATATTACGGTCAGTTAGTAGAACAGCAGTGCTGTGTACGAAGTAGTAGTTGTTAAATTGAGTTAATTGTCAGTTATACAAAAATATTCGGAAAAGTTTAAGCATTTAAAGAAAATTCTTAATAAAAATCATTTTTGAGCAAAATGTTTCGTAGTTCGCTTACTTTTGATAAATTATTAGGTAAATTTTTTTCACTATATCAAGTGAACAAAATGTCCGATTGTCAAATTATATTTTTAATTTTTTCGTAGATAAAGCAACGAGTCATTTGCATCTTGAACCTGATTGGGTAGCAATACTCCAAATATGTGATTTAATACGTCAAGGAGATGTGCAGTAAGTGAATATTATCATTTAACCTAAAGCTAACCTTACTATTTTTTAATGAAACAATAATATTTTAGTCTTAAAACATATTTTATACATGTATATATTTTTGAAGTTATTTTTCAAATTCAAAACTATTTAAATCTTCTTTATATATATATATATATATTTTTACCATGATAATAATATGTAATTATTATTATTAATATCTTATTATTTTTATATATACAGACCAAAAGCAGCACTCGCAGCTATAAAAAAGAAAATGACAAATGCAAATCCACATGTAGCTTTATTTGCTTTATTGGTAAGAAAACTTAATGCTTTGATAAATATTTTGTTATTTATTAATTACTATTTATATTACATATTGTTTTATTATTAAGGTTCTAGAATCTTGTGTCAAAAATTGTGGTACATTGATACATGATGAAATTGGTACCAAACAATATATGGAACAACTTAAAGAATTAGTAAAGACAACAACACATGAAAATGTTAAACTTAAAACTTTAGAATTGATTCAAGCTTGGGCTCACGCATTTCGTAATAGTCCTAAATATAGAGCAGTACAAGTATGCTAAATAAAAATGTTTATATGTAGTTATATTTTATTTTTAGTAATATAAAATATTAATATTAATAAAATATTTAGGATACACTTAACATAATGAAAGCTGAAGGACATAAATTTCCTACTTTAAAAGAAAGTGATGCTATGTTTATTGCTGATACTGCTCCAGCGTGGGCAGATGGAGATGTGTGTCATCGTTGTCGAGTATCATTTGGAATGGTACAAAGAAAACATCATTGTAGAGCATGTGGTCAAGTATTTTGTAGTCAGTGTTCAAGTAAAGTATCTACACTGCCTAAGTTTGGAATTGAAAAAGAAGTTAGAGTTTGTGAAGCATGTTATGAACAACTTAATAAGTAAATATCATATTTTCATTATAATATATTATTATATTATAACTTTTATTTTCAATTATGTTATTTATTTTTATAGACCATCTACAGCTCAAATTAAAGAAGCAGATCTACCTGCTGAATATCTTAACAGTTCTTTAGCTCAACAACAGCAAGTATGTAATTGCATAAGAAAGTTAAAAATTAGAAAAATTAAAAATATGTACATAAAATATAATCTATTTTATTAGGTACCTCCCAGGAAAACAGCAGCTGAATTACAAGAAGAAGAAGAACTTAATCTTGCTATAGCTTTAAGTCAAAGTGAAGCAGAACATCAAGAGAAAGAAAAAAAAGAGGAAATCGTGCAGCAAAAATAAATTCTCCTAATACACGTGTTGTGAGAACATCTTCACCACCACCATCACCTGTTTGTTTACAAAAAAAGTTTACAAACTAAAAAAAATAAATGTATAGGATGTTTTTTTTATCTCGCAAAATTCTTATAAAAAATTAACTTATACTTACTTATACTCGACTTATCTTAACTTATACTCGAAATATCGGTTTAGAAAATATTTTAATTCAGGATCTGAAAAAATATATAATAATTTGTGATTGACTCAGTAGGATAATCTTTGTACTAACAAAGAATAGAAAACACAAAAATTTTTTTTTATTAGCTACTCTTTCTAGTTAAAATCTATAGAACATATAGATTATATATATATTAGTATTAATAAACAAGATAATAGATAAGATAAATAATAGTATTTGACTAATATATCTTAAATGTAAATATTCAGATTATCAGAAAAATTCAGATAAATTGATTAATGAAATCTAAAATTGTATTGTACTATTTATGTTAAAATTTTTTTCATTATAAAAAAACTTATAAAAAATAATTTACATCATAATGTTTTTTTTTCAAAGCAAGCAATTTTTAAAATATTTAAAATTTTTAAAAACATTTTTTTGATATATTAAGTCTGTATTTCTATTTTGCGAGGTAAAAGAAATACTCTGTATATATTGTGAATGTATTATAAATTTTATTTTTTAGCAAGAAGAAGCAGAAGTTGATCCAGAACTTGCAAAGTACTTGAATCGTAAACGTTGGGAACTAAGACAAAGTGCACTTGAAGAGCATAGTTCCCGAGCAGATGTTACAAGTCCTTCTGCTCCTAATATAAGTAGTCCAATGCCACAGAAAGTTATAATTACAAAACAACAGAATGGAGAAGTTGATAATCAAATGGAAGAATTTGTTAATGCTTTACGTTCTCAAGTTGAAATTTTTGTTAATAGAATGAAGAGCAATTCATCAAGAGGCAGATCAATTGCTAATGATAGTTCAGTACAAACTTTGTTTTTAAATATTACTGCTATGCATTCCAGGTTTGTTTTAAAGAATATTTTTAATTATACATATACAAAATTTTATCATATAATAAATTTTCTTAGATTATTGAGATACATTCAAGAACAAGATGATAGTAGAGTATATTATGAAGGTCTTCAGGATAAATTAACACAAATGAAAGATGCTAGAGCTGCTTTAGATGCTTTACGAGAGGAACATAGAGAAAAATTACGAAGACAAGCAGAAGAAGCTGAAAGACAAAGACAAATGTTGATGGCTCAAAAATTGGCAATTATGAGAAAGAAAAAACAAGAATATTTACAATATCAACGTCAGCTTGCTTTACAAAAAATTCAAGAACAAGAAAGAGAAATGCAAATGAGACAAGAACAACAAAAACAACAATATATAATGGGTATACATATAAATAAATTTACTTCAATAAAGTAAATTGAACTATAAATATGAAATAATTTTTATTACATTAAATATGATTTAGGTGGTTATCAAGCTGTTTCTGGTTTTATTGGACCATCTCAAGGTTCACCTGTTCGTCACGTTCAGTATCAAACACCAGGAACTAATTATAATCCTATGTCACCAACCAATCAAGGATTCATATATGGGCAACCTTCTATGAAACAATATCCCATGCAAGGTTATAATATACCACCAATGAATTCTATGCCACCTCATGTAATGGGACCAATAACTAATCAGGAGCAACCAACTGATCCTGTCCAGGGACATGAGGCGATGGGTCGAGTTTCTGTTTCTGGACCAGGAATGGTTAGTACAATTTTAAATATATTTATATACATTTGTATATTTATTTTCAATATTTTTAAAAAATATTTCTTTGTTTCTTATATAATTTAAAAAATACTTCGATTCATATATTTTATTTAATTTTCTATATTTCTTTTGAAGATGTCTCAAATTACAAATCCCATACCGCAACTTCAGCAGACAGGTGGACATCAAATGGGACCTCCACCATCGCAACAAGGTCCTCCGCCAAGTCATATGACACAAACACAACCAACAACAGTGCATATGCCGCCGCATCAGGGTCCACAAATTACACAGCCAGGACCACCAAATCAAATTCCTCATACTATACCTCAGGTACCACAAAGTCATATGGGTCCATCACCTGCACAAATGGGACCTGGAGCACATGGTCCTCCAGGACAAGTAGTCGGTCTGCAAATGGGACCTCAACAATCATCTTCAATACCAGGTCCTCAAGGATCTTCGATGCAACCTCACGTTTCAAATACGCCTATTTCATCCCAAGGATCAGCAACAATTCAAATACCACCAGGAACTACAACTGGATCGATTTTAACATCGAATCCAGCAATGCAAGCTTCTCAGGCACCTGGTGTACCATCTATGCAAGGTATAGCTCAAGTTCCAGTATCTCAAGGACAACAATTACAATATCAACCACCAACTTCTCTACCTACATCTTCTCTGGCTACATCAAATGAATCTTCCCAAGTAAAAGAGGATTCAAAACCAGAAACAGCAGAATTAATTTCTTTTGATTGAATGAATAACTTGTACATACAAGTTAACTTATAATAAGAAATGCATTTAAGGTAATCATTTTGCATACCAATTTTAATCTTAATTTGGCATTAATTTTCTCAA